CTGCAGCCCCGCCCCGCCCCCCGCAGGCCGGCCCCCGAGGCCCTGAAACCACACGCAAGCCCTTTCTTATTCTCCTACTTAAAAAATAAGGTTGGTTTTCATGCTGTAGAAAACTTGGACCACAGAAACACCCCGGGAAGGACACGGTCTCCCAGGTCATGCCATCAGCCAGCCAGAGCGCGGGGACCGTGTCCTGCCCCCGGGGTGACCTTGGACGAGTCGCCATCCCCTCCAGGAGCCCAGCTCCGTCTGAGGAGAAGCCCAGGTGGCCTTGGAAGGTCTCAGCTGCTGAGAATCCTTGTACTTTCTGCTTTGGGGCGATTGGGGCAGGCTGCATCAGTTTCAAATCATCTGGGACCCACAGTGGCCCCAGGCCCCCTCCTAGGCCTTCCAGGACCCCAGGGCTTGCGGGAAGGAGCCAGTGCTGGTCAGACCTGCCCGTGCCTCCCTGGCCTCCTCAGGGTGGTCCCAGGGCCAGGTGGCAGGATCCTGCCAGCTTCCTGCCCTTGGCTTGGGGCCTGCCTGGCCTCAGCTCCCCTATGGGGGGTGGGTGTGAACTCAAGGTTGTGATGAGACCCTCTGTACCCAGATGTCCTGCCTGCCTGCCTGGGGCCTTAGGGTGTGGTGTTGTGGTTCCAGCCCCGGGCAAAGTGGGAGCTAAAGGGTGGGAGGACCACCCCCATGCCAGGAGGTGGGGTTTGCACAGGCCTGAGTCCTGAGGAAGTGACACCACAATCAGAGCTCCGCCCAGGAATGGCAGCAGAGGGGCTTGGGGACTGGCTCACAGGGACCTCCCTGGTCAGCCCAGCCCTGCCCTCTAGTAGTGTGAGTGTACACCTTGAGCCTCAGTTTCCCCACCTTGCGCGACACCCTCCTGGATCGGTGGTGAGGGACACCCGGCCGTGGTCCCAGATTCCTGGGCTGGGGGCTGTTAATGTCCCTTGAGCGACCCTCCAGATGACTCCACCAGGAGCTGGTCCCCTCCTGCCCCTGCTAAGCCCCAGCCCAGGTCCCGGGGGTGAGCGTCCTCCAGACACAAGCCTTGCCAGTCTGTCCGCCTCCATTAGCCTGGGAGCTTGGGTGGGCCAGAGAGCACCCTGGGGACCTGGAGGGTCAGCCAGGGACCCCAAAGTTGTCAAGGAAGCTCTAGGGAGTGCCCCGGGGCGACAGAGACCAGCCAGAGCTAATGGGCAAGGGAGAAATGCAGTGCCCCAGCTCCGCTGGGTGGGCTGGGGAGTGGGCAGTACCTGGAGTGGGCCCTGGCAGGCAGGCCCCTAGTTCCCTGTCACTTGGTCCACCCCAAGTCAGCCCCAGGTGCTGGCTATAGCCTGCCCTCCTCCTGGCTGTCCCGTAGGACCCTAGCCGGAAGTCGTCTGACCTTATCATGCCCAACAACAACTCCTCCAGCCCTTCCCCACCCCGCCTTCTGTTTTCCTGTGGTTTGTTTTGGTCAGATCTGACGGAAACAGATGAGGTGCCAAGGACGTGTGGGCCTAAGGGGCCCCCTCCCAATACCCTGGGCCTCCCAGTCTCTCCAGCCCCCAGCTGTGGCCAAGGCTCCAGGCCCTCCTAGCTGCAGGGGGTTCCCCTCCGCATCCCTGGAAGAACCGTCAAAATGACCTTAGCAGTAGTCTCCTGCCCCAGCCCCCAGCTCACCGGAACCGCGCAGGGCTGGACCATGCATGGTCTCTGCACTTGGAGCCTAGGGATGGGGATGGGGGGGCGTGTGGCCAGGAAGCCCCAGGAGGGACCAGTGGACAGCCTCTCTCTGGCAGCAGGCGGACAGGACAGGACACCCCTCTCTGCTGGCTGTTCCAGGACAGCATCCAGTAGGCTTGCAATTTGCCAGGGCAGAGGGTGGGAAAGGCACCCAGCTGTCCCTGGCTGTCACCCTTGGACACCAGGCTTGGAGGGCTGGATGGAGACAGAGTGCCTTATACTGAGTTGGGACCCTAGGCCCTCGCCTGCTTGCACTTGCCAGCGGGGAAACCAAGACAGAGGATGGCAAAACAACCTGGAGACCGCCATAAAAGCAGAGTTCCCAGGCCCACTCTGGACATGTGGGTCGGAGCCTTAGGCAGTGGAGCCACAGGCTGTCTTTTTTTTTTTTAATGTGATAAAACACACATAAAATGTATCCTCTTTTTGAGTTGGAGTCTTACTCTGGTGCCCGCGCTGGAGTGCAATGGCACGATCACGGCTTACCGCAGCCTTGACCTCTCGGGCTCAGGTGTTCCTCCTGCCTTAGCCTCCCCAGTAGCTGAGACTACAGGTGCACACCACTATGCCTGGGTAGGTATTTTTTCGTAGTGACCAGGTCTTGCTATGTTGCCCAGGCTGGTCTCAAACTTCTGGGCTCAAGCAATCTTCCTACTCCAGCCTCCCAAAGTGCCGGGATTACAGGTGTGAGCCACAGGCCCTTCCTAAAATTTACTCTTTTAACCTTTTTTTTGGCATCTCACTCTCGCCCAGGCTAGAGTGTAGTGGCATGCTCACACCCACCACAACCTCGACCTGCTGGGCTCCGGTGATCCTTCCACCTCAGCCTTCCAAGTAGCTGGAACTACAGGCGCACGCCACCACGCCTGGCTAGTATTTTGATTTGTTGTAGAGACGAGATCTCGCCCATTGCTCAGGCTGATCTCAAACCCCTGGGCTCAAGCAATCCTCTTGCCTCCGCCTCCCAAAATTCTGGGGTTACAGGCATGAGCCACCACACCTGGCCTCTTCTCATTTTTAAATGCGCTGTTTAGTGGCATTAAGCACATCACATTGTTATACAACCATCACCACCATCCATCCCCAGAACTTTCCATCTTCCCAAACTGGAAGTCTGTCCCCATTAAACACTCACTCCCCATCTCCTCCCCACTGGCACCCTCCCTTCTACTTATGTCCTGTCTCTGATCTGACAACTCTCTAGGGACCTCCTATAAATGGGATCACACAGGATTTGTCCTTTTTTTTCTTTTTCTTTCTTTTTTTTTTTGAGTCGAGGTTTTACTCTGATGCCTCGGCTGGAGTGTCGTGGCATAGTGATGGTTCCTCACAGCTTCGACCTCCTGGGCTCAAGCGATCCTCCTGCCTCAGCCTCCCAAGTAGCTGGGACTACAGGTGCATGCCACCACACCTGGCCATTTAAAAACATTTTTTTTAGAAACGGGGTCTTGCAGTGTTGCCCAGGATGGGTTCAAGTGATCCTAGGGTCCTCCTGTGACTGCCTCGTATCACTGAGCACCATGTCCTCAAGGCTTCCCTACATTGTAGCGTGTGTCCGGATGTCCTTCCTTCTTAGCGCTGAACAATACTCCGCAGTGTGGATGGACCACGCTTGTTGATCCACCTTCCAGTGCTAGGGTGGCTTCCACCCCTGTTGGGAACGTGGGTGACCCAGTGTCTACTTATTTATTTATGTTTCAGAGACGAGGTCTCGCCGTGTTGCCCAGGCTGGTCTCGAACCCCTGGACTCAGGCAATCCTCTGGCCTCTGCCTCCCAAAGCCAAGTGTCTCTTAAAACCTCTCAGGATGTGAATGGGCTGGGGTCCTGGGACCCTGTCCTCCAAACCCAGGTCTCCCCACTGCCTCTGATCCAGCTGGAACTTTCCACCGACCTGCATGACCATGGGAAAAAGACAGGTAGTATTGCTTGGACTGGGCTGGGAGCTGTCTCCAGGGCTTGCGGGGAGGTGACGGTGTTATGAGGTAAAGACAGGAGGGGAATTTGCAAAAAGTATCTTTATTCTGCAAAATAAACATGTATAAAATATAGAAAACAACATAAGACCACATTATATAAAATAAAGAGTTGGCCAGTCTATACACCTCTCACTTTGAAATTTATTCTTTCCTGCCCTTGAAGTAGAAAAGTTTGGGCACTCATGCATGTAATCCCAGCACTTTGGGAGGCTGAGGCAAGAGGATTGCTTGAGGTCAGGAGTTTGACACCCGCCTGGGCAACAGAGCGAGACCTCGTCTCTACAAAAAATCAAAAAATTAGCCGTGTGTGGTGATGCGTACTTGTAATTCTAGCTACTCGGGAGGCTGAGATGGAAGGATCGCCTGAGCTCAGGAGGTCAAGGCTGCAGTGAGCTGTTCTTGTGTCACTGCACTGCAGGCTGGGCCCTGATTCCAAAAAAGAAAGAAAGAAAGAAAAGTCTAGGGGGTGCCAGCCCCTTGGCTGCGGGTGCAGAGGGTCAGGAGCCAGAAGGGGGAGGCCGAGACACCCTGATCGGAGTTCTTAGAGATGGGGGGCACTGGGCAGCCCCAGGGAGGCGCAGGGAGGTTCAGAGGCGCCCCCATCTGTGAAGCCGGAGTCAAAGCACCACCCAGCATGGGTGCCTGGGTGGCACCTCCTCACATGCATCCCTCCCAGCAGGGTCGGCTCCCAGGCCTCAGGGTCAAGTACGTCTTCCTGGTCTGGCTGGGCATCTTTGCGGGCAGCTGGATGGTGTACGTGCACTACTCGTCCTACTCAGAGCTGTGTCGCGGCCACGTCTGCCAGGTGGTCATCGTAAGTGTTGCTACTGACAGCCCGTGTTGGTCCCAATGCTGGGGCACCTGTCCCAGGGCTCCTCCCTCCCTGGACCACATGGCACGTGGATTTCAAGGTGGAATCTGCATCGCTGCCTCTGGCTTTCCATGGAGGATTGGTCGTCAAGGGGAGGAGGCAGGGAGATGTCCGGGGAAGCCACCGCAGGTGCCCAGGAGAGCGTGAGAGGCTTGGACTGGCTGGGGTCTGCAGGTAAACTCCACAGGTATTTGGAGGGGCACTTCAGCAGGGAGCCTGGGGGCAGGCTCCCCTCTGTGACCTTGAGGGTGCCTCCTGGGCCCAGGGGTCCACTGAGGCAGGCTGCAGGGCATGGTCTTCAGAGCCTCCACCCCAGGGAGACAGGGCTGAAGTCCCCCTGGTGGGTGAGAGTGTGAGTGTATGTATATGTTCCCGTGTATGTATGTATATGAGCCTGAGAATGGACATGTGCTCCCACGGGGGCACACTGAGTTGATGCCCTGTGACTGGCTGGGGGAGGGTGTCACCCCAGCTCCGCTTTCCTGACAAGACCCAGACTGGCCCAGAACTGGGCAGGTCCCTGTGACTGTGTTGACTCCAACCCCTGTCCAGCCTGCCTGGCAGCCAGAGCCCTGCAGCGCCTGATGACCAGGGTTATGACGCCTCCTGTCCACTCGGAGGGACCTGCCCTGTGGCAGCAGGAACTCCTGGGCATCGAGCAGGCCTGGATGGGTGCAGGGAGATGCCAGGCCACTGGGGCTGCCAGGAGGGCTCCGGCCAGCCCGCTCTGATCCCTGCTCCGTGGCCCCCGGGGGCCTGGACCCTGCTGAACTGTGTCTGATGGGGTCCACGTGTGGAATGGTCTAGAAGTGGCGGTTGGGGAGCAGGGCCGTGGGATCTGGAGCAGGGAGAGCAGCTTGTGCTGGGACTTGGGAGGAGCCAGTGTGTCCCAGGAGCACTGTTGCAGGGACATGGGAGTATGTGGCATCTGGGTCTGGGCTGTGGACTTAGTACCTCTTGGGTTGCAGGCCCGAGCCCACGCCAGTGTGGGGGTCATCTGGGGGTCTTTCAGGTCCCCTGTTCTTGGAGGACTCGCTTGTTCCAGAAGTGCCTGGCAGTGCCCTCCAGGTACCAGCCTGGTCAGCCCTCACCGTCCGGGGACCCCTGGGCAGGGTGGAGTGGAGAGGGCGGTGCTGTGGGCTGGGCCGGGACCACTGGGGCGGGAGGGCTGTGGAGAGTGGCCCTGGAGCAGATGCCCCCTCAGAAGGAGCCAAGGTGGAAGGGCAGGCCGGCCTGGGGACCCAGGAGGCGGTTGGAGAGTGAGGATTAGAGCATCGGCAGGTGTGTTCTGGGTGCTGGACCAGGAGGCCACTGGGGAGCACAGGCTGCCGCCCCTGTGTGCCCTGGGGTCCTGGCCCTTCTGACAGCAGGGGTTCCCTGGGCTGCTTTGGGCCTTCCCAGAGGGCAGCGCCAAGTCCAACTCTCCTGAAGCCTGTCCTCACTTTGTGAGGGCACTGGCTATTTCAGAGAGGGTCTGAGGCGTGGCTGGGGTTCACACAGGGAGGAGGAGGAGGAGGAGTAGCTGCTGAGGTCAGTCTCAGGTACTAGCAGGGCTCTTGGTGAGACTGGGGGCTGTGCATCGAGCCCCCCAGGGCCCCTTCTGGGGAAACAGATTGGGAGGTGAGGGGACTTGCCGGGGACCCCACAGGTGGCGCGCCCTGAGGAGGGCCGAGACACTGTCCCCCCTCACAGCTCAGGAAGTCCCTCCCAAGCCTGGTGAAGTAAAGGGTACAGCTGGGACGGTCTTCCCCGGCGTCCCTGGAGCCCTGGCCTCAGCATGGTGGTGGCTGTGGGGCCAGCAGGCTTTGTCCCCAGCAGCCTCTGGGCACCCCAGAGCAGAACTGCCACCTGTGGGCCTGGGGCTCGGCATAGAGCAGAGTTCTGTAGGATGAACATGGACCCAGCACACAGGGCCTGCCCGTGGGGGCGTAGACATGGACCTCGGGGCACGGGGCCTGCTTATGGGGGGTGGATACGGACCCCAGGGTGCGGGGCCTGCCTATGGGGGAGTGGGTATGGGGGCCTGCTTTCTTCCCTTTCCATCTCGATGAAGAGCCCTGTTTACCGGCTGCCAAGGGACAGACCCGCCTTCATGATCCACGAGGCTGAGCCCAGGGCCTCTGGTTGGCTACACCCTGCTGTCTTCCTCCCC